GATGCTTGTCGTCCTTTTGTCATTGTTGTAATTGGTGGGCGCGTTGTCGTTTTTGGGGTGCTGGGCGGTCATCTTGTGGGTGTCATCTTCGTTTCATGGGTGGTTGTCTTCGTGGGCAGTCATTGACGTTGGTGGGCAGTTGTGGTTGCGTTGTGATGTGGCACCATCCTCGTCCCTGTTGGTGTCGTGCTGTTGTGGTCGTGCCCTGTTGTTGTCGTGTCGCATCGTCGAATTGTTGCCATGTCGCAGACAGTGACGTGGCCCCTGGATCTGGTGTGAGTCGGCCATATGGGACAAGAGGGGGTGGGTGCACTGACCTGATCAGCTTGGACAGTGACAACAGCATGCGTTGTCACCGTCCAGACGATGTGGCACATCTGGCACATCGTCTTCATGTCCTGGGCGCTCATCAATGGTTGTGGGTGGTTGGTGATGACGTTTCCATTGTTGTGTGTCGTTGGCATCGTTGGCATGTCGTCGTCGTTGATGTGGGTGGTTGTGGTTTGTCACGGTGGTGAGGGATGGTGGATGGTTGTGAGATGGTGGTGTGGAAGGAAGGAGTGACGTGGCGACGTTTCAAGCCACAGCATGTCACACATATGACACCCCGTGCCTTGGTGCATATATAGCTACCTTTAGTTTAACATATAATAAAGCCTGTATGGCTCAGTTGGCTTTAGCGTTGCTATAATTGACAATGTTGAGGGTTCAATTCTCTTAGGTGCAAAAATTCTCTTTTTACTTAAATATAGTAAGGACACTATAAATATTGTGTTTATATGTATTCTAATGGTATATTGGTCTTCCATGGAATCCATGTGGAATGCTCCATGGAATCCAATGTGGATATGCCTGCATTCCATGACCATTCCATGGTCATTCCATATGGAATCCATGAGGTCTATGGAATAAGAAACTGGCTGGGTCCTCAGCCATGGAATCCATATGGAATTCTTCATGGATTCCATACGGAATAACCCAGGGAAGGTAGAGACCTCGGAAATATGCACATTTCCAAATGAAAAATACCAATAAAATAGGGGAAAAATCAGAAATAAAAATAGGGGATGGTACTCTCTGTTAGTGATGATGTTGGGCACTGTTTTCAGGGTCCAGGGCACATTGCCAAATATGGTAATATAGCCAAAAATAGCCAGAAAATGGCCAGAAAATCAGAAAAAAATGGTAAGGTGGTGCTCACTGTTGGTGATGACATTGAGGTTGTTTTCAGG